ATTTTCAAAACTAAGAGAATTCCATTAAACTATTTCGCTCTTTTTTTCCGGTTTGCTTTCATCGAAAATTAGTGAATAAATTGAGAGAAGGAAGGGTGAGAAGTTTCAGAAAGTGCAAGAGCACTTGGAGCTGGCACAGAAGTGTCCCAGTGGACTGTGTCCAATCTGTTTGAATGACTTCTCGATGAAAGAAGCATCCGTCCGAACGCATTGCGATCATTATATACATCGTCCGTGTTTTGTGAGATATATTCGCTTTTCAAAAGAAGAGATTCAAAGAGAGTTAAGTGAATGGCCGAGCGATCTGAGGGATAAAGTGAATCGGGTTCGTAAACCTTATTGAATTAACGGGAGTAGTAATTGGGATAATGGGAATGGTCGTTGATTGTTACAGCAATGGTTTGTACGAAGACATTAGATATTGTTGTTTTTTGATTATTAATTTCATTTTGGATTTTTGAAAGTTGAAATGTTTAGTCATCTTCCACACATTCATCGTTGTCGAGGAATTTCGGTTCTTAGGTTCCCTCTTTAGTGATTTTTTTTTCAACTTGATTTATTTGGATGAGTGAAAAATTTTCTTTCAGGAACTGCACTGTCCAATGTGTCGTGAGCCATTGCGTGAGGATGACTTAAGTGAATTAGATGAGGACGAGCTGCAAAAATCAAGGAATCTTTTTGAAAGCAATTCGAATTTGAGTCCGAACGGTACGGATGCATTTGACTGGGATTGGCGAACGTGGAAAGAGATTCAGCAAAAATGGGAGGTTATTTACCAGAAACAATTGGAAAAAGGTGGAATTATCGATGTGAATGAAGAGCGAAATCGATTTTTGGTCACTGATGAAACGGTTTGTGGTTCGATTTGAGTTCTCTTTCGAATTTGATTCATTTTTGTTCATGGTTCGTATTTTTTCATTGCTTGTGAGTCAGTCAATTATTTTCGGTCATTCAATTGTTCCGTCATTTGTGCATTCGATCGTTGATATATGTTTGGAGTCAACTTCCCAACGAGTCTGAAAATTGATTTCGAAACGAACCTATAAGTTTAAGTTTTATGTTCGATTTGAGGTACTCGATTCAACGAGCTCATCGCTCAGTGCTTCCGAAATGATGCCTCCTGCAGCTACTAGAGGGGAAGCGGAGCGTGAAGAGTGGAACGGTCGTGATGAGATGCGAAACTCTAGTGAACATCCTTATTCTCGTCATAATCGTCACCCGAAAGCAATCGAATC